AAAATGATAACCCCTACCCTCTCAGACAAACTAGGCTTTTCAACCCACCGTTATGTAGAACTAATAACTATTTCGAAAGTTTTTTCCCTCAAATGTGCCGCACAATTAACACTGCAAATTCCGATCTTCTTAATTCTCCCTCTCCTGCAGCATTTGAATAAAGAACTTATTTCTGATAGTGAATCTGTTTCAATTTTCAAAACAGAAGGTAACCGAAGAGCAAGTATTATTCTATGTCGACTTCGAAACTCTTGCAGTAATTTAAATTATGATTTACACCATGACCATCTTACTAATAGTCCTACTTGTACCTGCTCTGCTGAACATGAAACAGTATCTCGTTACTTTTTGGAATGTCCTATTTTTAATAATCAAAGAACAACTTTGTTCACTGTTTTAATAGTTATGGAAACCACAATCACATTGATAAAAATATTCTTCTCCAGGGCTGTCCTGATTGTGATGGGCTTACAAATAGAAGAATACTTGATGATGTGCATATTTTTATTGGAAAATCCCGTCGTTTTAATTTTTATATGACTTAAAGCCATGATGTTAAACAAAAATATACTATATATTCTATATTACATCCAGGAGATTCTTGTTGAGCATGACTACTGTCTATTACGTGTACTTATCTGGACTTTGTAAATAATTACACTCTATATGTATTAAATGAATTTATTATTTTTAATTTGTACATGTACTTGTATGTGTGTGTAAGTGTGTATGAGGTGTGTGAGATGTTTCCTTCATGAGTTACTTCCCCTTAGCCTTGTGTTAATATGAAATATTTTGTTTTAATTTTTTCATTTGCAACATGTCTAAAATATTATGTCTCCTTGTTTATTCCAATTTGGCTATTTGACGGAGTGAATTTATATAGGCTTTGCCTGTTATTCAATCCAATTGATTACGACATCTTGTCAATAAAATTTGATGAAATGAAATATTGTCGACGTTTGATGCACAATGCCGGAAGTGACGCCGCACAGACAGTCCTATCATGGATATCATGATTTCTGTTTCTGTAGTAGTACACCTACATTTGTGTAATTCAATTCGGCTTCAAAAGTATTTTATTATTTAAGGAATTATACTCTTGTTTTGATAACTATGACAGGAAATATTGTCATTTTTGTAAATTAACTGCGGTCGTTTGGTACGAATATCATACGAAGATGAAGAAAGTTGGTCTGACTATGGACAAAAGACCTGGTTACGACATGTGATAGTTATTTATGGTTTATTCAATGTCAACGCAGTCTATTTCGTGTCGTTTGGTGTTTTATGGACGAACCGATCGATTGTGATTGTGACGGAAATAATCAGTATTTTTTGACAGCTAAAAAAATAAAAATGGCGGCCTCCATTTGACAACACGATGACTTTCAATATAATCAAAATCCATGTATGGATGTTTAATCATAATATACTTCATAGGAGTACCTCACTGTATATAATATCCTATTTTTGCCAAAGTTTCAATTCTCAAACATAAATAGGTTATCAGTTCTAATTTTCCCCCCAAATAGTGGCAAAATATTCACGAGTCACTCATTTATATTTCCAATAACACTCTTTATTGAGTGCGTGACAAACGTTCAATCATGGCTATAGGGAGTTTGAATTAATAACTTCTAACGGTGAAAACGACAATTCAGCACAGCTTGTTATAAATGTAATATTTACACATGAAATAAAGGGACCTGAACGTCAATTTTTAGTGTTTACATGAACCTTAAACCAATTATTGTATGTACTGTTTTTTATCTCTCATATTTACATGTACTATGTACTGTCACATATGGAATTCATTTCACGAGTCAATTTCGCAGGCTCGCCGTCACGCAAGCGTGTTCGCTAGAACAAAATTAGTTTGCTGCGCTTATTAAAGTCGGATGAAATGAAAGTCATGATGATATGATTTAACTTAGAATTATGATGAATACAACATAGGTATACATATGTACGTCCTGATGAATGAATACGGCTAGATGAAGGTCACGACGTATTGGTAAGGATGTATGGAGGTTACGATGAGTAACACCACCGTTCGTGTGTTTCATTCGTGCTGTATGACCGTATCGTGTTGATGGGACGTTAAACGTCAACAGTAATAGTGCTAACGTATTTACTGTTTCAATATCGATGCATTACTGAAGTAATATAATAGGGATATCGTTTTTCTTTGGATACATCGGTTTCGTACTATTCATTGACAACCACCCTCCGTCCATGCACCTGGCCATACATGTACGTTTGAAGCCTCCATCAAGAATCCAGGCGGAGTTGTGTTAACGACAAACTGGCGTCGGTGACGATTTATCACCAGTATTTGCAACAAATGCCTTCTATCAGGCGATGGGTAAAGGGGGATAACTTCCACTCGATTCAATGTAACCTACTTACGTTATTGTTGAAACTCGATGTTTCAACTGGTTGTACATGAAGTACATTGATTATATATGATAACGTCATGACAAAAACAAAGTGTCTCACAGTAATCATATATTTATGATCCAACATGTGTTTCCATTTCATATGAGATTTATGAAACGAGTATAAGATTTTTTCTATTTAGCGAGCCTTAGCGAATGTCTGGCGAGCTAAAATGAAAAAAATCGTGACGAGTTTCATAAAACTCATATGAAATGAAAACAAGGGTAAAATCCTTTTAATCACATTTTAATCAAGATTTGTGGCATTTATTCGTGTTAAGTTAACCGACAATTTCCATGCAACCTTGAAATGCAAAAAGCCGCCATTTTGACTCCAGTGTGAAAGTCTGTGACGTCATGTACTTTTCCTAGGCGTGACGTCACAATTGAAACTTACAACCAATCACAGGGCTGCTAGGTCATATTGCAATATGAAAAAATTATGACATGGGTATATTCACTGGAAGTTTTATATCCCACACATATGTCACATCAAACTAACCATAACTACGGTTATAATCAGGCTATACGAACACATGTAATGCATGAGTAAGTTTCGGTGTGCTGAACTTCCCATCGATGTATAATGTAAAGAAAATATAGTAGTTTTAGTGTGATAGTTCAACCTTATCCATGAACATATCACAAAGAAGAAGAAGAAAAAGAAAAAGAAGAAAAAATAAGGAGAAGAAGAAATGAATGTTCTCATGATGTACTCTAATATTTTAATTACAGACATGTAGATACTTATTTTGATTCCATTATGTGTGTTATTACAAGCAATATATAATAAAACAAATAACAAAGTGTACACGTTATTAGAAGCAGTACAGAATATAAGATAGATGTACACATGTCACAATTCTCGTTTGTTGGTCTGCATGCTACAAATACAGGTTACTAGACCTTTATTATAAATTAACCGTCACTGATATACTCCAGTACTCATTTAAACAATAACTGGTTGTCTGGATGTAATTATTGTTGATATAATTACAAGTGGTCTCTGGCAAATCCTATAAAACCCGCTAGGGTTTCATGGTAGATTTGCCAGAGACCAGTTGTAATTATATCAACAATAATTACATCCAGACAACCAGGAATTTTTTATATTTACATATTTTTTCTTTTTTAAGATATATTCCTACAAAAACCATTTTCCCTGCCTCAAAATACATTTCAGGCGGCCATTTTGTTTGTTTACATATTCCTACACCTGAAACAGGCAGTTGTAATTATAGTCGAGCAGTTGGAATTATAGCCTATATAATTACACTTGCCCTCTAACACTGTTGTAATGGGACGGCGCGGGGGCAAATGTAAATATAAAAGGTAACAACGTCGTTTAGCCACAGGTGCAGGGTTTTATATGTATAGTATAGGGCAGTATTACATGTTCGAAGTATTAAAATATGTTATGTCATTGTATTGACTTTGATATAAGATATTTTAATGTAAAGGGTATAAGCCTCAAACTGTCTATTATGTAAAATATTGGACAGTCTGAGGCGCGTACTTAAAACACACACCCTCTTTGTGTTAATATTGGACAGTTTCAATATCTGTTCAGTATGCGCAAGATTTCAACTGCCCTCAACTCCATAGTGTTATTGCCAAAATTACGAATTCAAAGGAAATTACAATCAATGCTGGAAATGTGCCTATCAGTAAAGTGTTTGGATATGTATGCATCTATATGGATGTTTCATGTAAAAAGAGTGTTCCGTGATTCAAATCTTTTTTCAAGGAAAAAATATAGTGCATGGGAAATCTGACAATTGGAATATAAATTAGGGGATAGTACGTTGTTTTGAGTGGCTATACTGGCGATTAGAACATGAAATTTGGGTTTGAACTCGAGACCGATAGGTTGTATAGGATTGTATAGGAAATTGAAATCAGTTGAGAAGCAGTTACGTAGATTTGCCTCAATATCAATTTATATAATATGACGAGCTGCCTGTAAATGTTTATTGTGGAAATTATTTATTTGGCTTACTTCCCCATATCGACGGTTTTTACAATACTCGCTATCTACAATAAAACCTGCATGCCATTCACTCGTTTTTATATGTAATGGCGATGGTTTCAATTGTTCTTGGCAATATTTGTTCACTTTCGTTTTCATTTCTCGAAAATATTGAAGTTCTGTCATAACATCACTTTTTCTTACAGCCTCCTGCCAACGTTTCAAAAATTTACTCAAACAATGCATAATCGAGTAGACACCATTTCCGGTAAAGATCTTCTTCCTCTTTACCGACGGCGAGAGATCGTTTCGGTCGCTTTTGTACATTACTAGATACGTACAATATATGCCTCATGTCCCAATTCAGTAACATTCTCATTAAAATCAAACTTTCCTCAAAATACTCAACAACGATCACCAAATCAAATTCTTTATCAAGTTTTCTTAAATACTTTTGAATCTGTTTTTCATCTGGTTTGGCAAACAATTGAAATGGAAAGCCAAAGTCCCAAGCCATAGAATTATATAATTTGGACACTTTTCCATTTCCCGAAATTATACGTCTGTAATCGTTCGGCGCTTGCAAGAATTTAAGAATTGGTTGTTGTTTTGCGATATTTAACATGAAATGTCTGTGGTANATATAAATTGGATACTTTTTTATTTTCCCCAATTATACGTCTGTACTCGTTCGGCGCTTGCAAGAATTTAAGAATTGGTTGTTGTTTTGCGATATTTAACATGAAATGTCTGTGGTAATAATGAACAGACGAGATGAACTGTCGGAAGGGATCTCGTACTGTGGCTACGTACACAGAATCCGAGGGAAGAGTTTTCTCAAACTCACTTCTGTTGTAGCGGATATGGTTACAGAGAATGTCGTACGTTCTGTTTCTGGGTGGTGGAAGGGCCCTTGACGAGATCGGTAGGCCTGTACCCATGGGTAATGTGGTACCGTGTTGGGGTAAAACAAACACTAAGTCATGTTCAATACCGAAACGGAGGAACAGATTTTGCATGGTGCCACTTGCAACTTTATGGACCTTTAAAAAAGCGATATGTTTTACGGGACCACTATTGTATGTCTGACTTTTCTGCATGTCATTTCCTCCATTATACAAGTCTTGATCTGTAGTCTGGACGACTGACCCTTTTGATGTTCGTGTTCGTGTTCTGTTAGTTTCTCCAATTGCCAGATCCGACTTGATACCACTGTTTTGTGTTGTGTACCCACTGTGTAAATCTGAACCACCATTCCTCCCTAGCCACAAAACGATACAGAATACCAAAAACAGCACACTGAAAAACAAAGGGAAATATGATAAAAAAGTGTCACAAACAGTACCAATATTTCGGCTTCATAGTCTTATTCAAAGGCGAAAGGCATCGCTGAATCTTAACAACGTTCTTATACTTTGTTACGCTTGGTATGTAACTTCTAAGGATACAATAACAATAACGCTATTTAAAATTGTCACATTTGTCAAAGAGTTTGGTATTTCTTGTGTTTATAATTAAAAAAAACTAGTATTCACCTTATATTTTGAAGGTAATTATAATTATTGCTCGTGTTTCCCTCTTTTTTTCGGACATATTGTACGGGCAGCTTAAAATTCTCACTAGGATAGTTCAGTGTCAAACAAAGAGGAAACATCTCTTAATTATCATTTGTCAGTTAAACGATTGTCATCGATTTCCCCTTCAGCAAAGCTTAATGACTTTAGAAAAGTAAATTGTCAAAAGAATAGGACAGCATGACTAAACCCTCGTTAGCATGTAGGCATACCTGGTACATGTATTGTATGGATATTACAGTTTGGCAATAACAAGATTATGGATTGCTTTCGATTATTAAACATGAGAAACAGATATGCTTGATTTGGTTTTATCCTATTAACAGCTAAGGTCATTTAAGGATATGCCTCCGTGTGTGTAATGTATGCGTGCTTGCGTGTATGTGCCGAAGGCAGGGTATGTTGGTGAATTGTCTCCTTAAGGAGGCTTCACCCTTTCGCAATTGAAACTTTCACATAATGATTATGCAACTATGTAGAGGTGATTTTATCAAAATCTAAGCAGTTCGATCGACTGGTGGTTTTTTTGAAAAAAAAAAAAAGTTTTCGTAAAATTTAATATTTTCCACTTGTTTTGGTGTGTGGTATTGTTCGGAACAATACCAACATTAAAAAAAAAAAGAAGCATTGCTAATTAACCCTACAAATATATTTTTATCACAAAATATTTAAAACACGTTACAATAAGTGTATTTTATTGAAATGATATGGATAAAAGTGATTACATACCAGCTAAAAGCAAACAGGACACAAGCTATCATACAAAAATAGTGGAAAATGGAACAAAATATACACAATGGCTTTTTTAATGAATCAATTTAACATTTTACAATCACTTTAATCGTGGTGAGAGTTGTGTTCCTTAAAAAACACTTTTTGCTTAGGGATACAATTTACAAACTGACATTTTTCTCTTTTAAAAACTATCAAAAGCTTGGACATCATTCAATAGCATGCTAGCGCATGGTACATGTTACAGGATTCTTTCGCATAGTACGCCGTTCTCACTTGCACTCACACATGCATTTTCATAGGGATATTAATACTTTTGAAAAAAATATTTCAACAGAGTCAGTGTAGTGCGTTTATAAAAACGATTTACTCGACAGAGCTTAATTGACAGCGTAACTCGCCCGACAGCGACAATCGTAACGACCTCGAGCTTGTGAACTGGTGTAAGCACGTGATATGCACATGTGTGGTCGGTACACAAAACCTATCAGTCCGCATTCCATGCTTCTTGAGGTCGTCTGGTCTCATGACATGTCAGAAACTTTCCGTGAGTCAATTTTTTTTTTTTATATCGGAATTTTTTATTTTTGAAGTACGTGTGATTACACATTTCTCGATATCGGATATGGACATATCATCGTGACACACGTGCACTATTGTTTACCCGGTGTTACTATAATTTACACTACGGCGTTTACATGCCCGATACGCAATACGGAAATGACGAAACGAACATACGACAAAAAAAAACATGCATATTACAAAGGGTTGGAAGTTCTTAATTGTGATAGTGCTACCTCACTGTAATACCATGCCAAAGTCACCCAGCAAAGCAATATACTCGGTCACTTTATGTTGCTATAACTCTAAATGCTGAACGTTAAGCAGGGAATTACAATTATCATTTTTAAGAGCGTTGCTATGTCCCGCCCTGGGACAGAACGCATTGCCTACTCCCTACTTTGGCGAACGTTTAAGACCAAGGCCAAAAGTGAGGTATTGCCAAACTAGGCACCGTTAAAACAAAAAAGGTTCTTCATGAAGTAGACAGAAAAAATAAGATTCCAAATGTTGAAATGGGGCAGCAGATATATTGTGGAATATTTGATCCTTTAGTAGAAGATACAGAAGGAAGCCCCAATGCTTTAGGGAGCTAGCTTTAGTCGCCTGTTACGACATATAGAAATGGGTATGATATCTAGCTTTGAATTTCCATTTTTTATTGTCACATTGTCTTATTGTCCCTTTGTCTTATGCATACTTAATCAACTTGTGTTTCATTTTTGATATGTACTGTGCGTACCATAAGTTCAATGATACAGATTCATCTATCCTGACATGGTGATATTTCTAGCTATTTTAAGTCTAATGATACATTCTGAATTGCTGGGGAATGGACAGTACACCGAATAAATGCCACATGGTGATATGTCAGAGATTAATGTACTTATCTCTTAAAATTACATTACTACATTGTCTAAAGATCCTCCGCCAATTGAGAACTTGACTTTCATTTGGGGCGTTGAGATGTCTTTTTTTATATTATGTGATACACTGTAGTTTGTTTAACCTTCCAAAACACTGTTGAAAAAAAAAACATTATTATATAACATTAGTTATTTGATCTTCAGAATGGGGTGTAATCTAGCTAGTAATCTACTTCTACGCAGATATATTTGTATAGTTAGTAATAGTAAAAGGGTACACTATATGTCCCTGGTACAAAGGAGCCTGTTTATGGATTATTTTATACAGTTTATAAGGTACATGTATGATGTGATGTCACTCTTGTCTAATATTTTGGTAGTTATCATGAGTTTACCATCATATTGTAGGTAAATATCTAGACTCTCTTGTCTGTAATGTCATGCTCTTGTTTCCCAAGGTCAAAACCATTTAATATATCCTAATATGAAATGCAGGGAAATACATGTAGCAAGTATCTTACTAATATTTTATGATATTAGCCTTTATATGAATTCAGATTCATACAAATACAATGAATGAGCTAGAAGTAGTATACGGCTAGTCTCTAAAAACAAGGCAAGTACTGCAAGGCAAGTATTGCATCATAGTCCCCCACTGTAATGATTTCTATATTTACCAAACAGAACACTTACGTCAGGAAGCATAGATCATATTAAGGTCATATTGACCTATTTCTTGCGCTACTCATCTCACGATGTCTTTGTACACCAAATCTGGTTACTCCAGGTGAAAAAGTATAGAATTTATGCCACGGACAAACTTTTCAAAAGTAAAGTTCAAAGGTCAAGTCATAGGTCATAGTGACCTTATTCTTGCACTCTGCACTCCGTCATCTCAAGATGTCCTCGTTCACCAAATCTGGTTACACCAGGTGAAATAAATAGTATAGTAGATATCCCACGGAAAAACATTTTCAAACGTGAAGGTCGAAGGTCAAAGCATAGATCACAGTAAAATCATAATGACCTTCAATTTTTAATGTGCACTCCATCATCCCCAGCTGTCTTTGTACACTAAAGATTGATAGTCCAGATGAAATAGTATAGAAGATATATCCCGAACAAACTTCGATGGATGGGAAGACGGATGGACGGAAGGTCGGACGGACGAAAGAACAGTAATATAGGTTGTAGTATAAGTAGTATATAATAAACTCCATTAAAATAACCATAGTAATATAAGTTGATGCATAGAAGCGGTACATTGTATATAGTAAACCCCTTTAAAATAATCATAGCAATATAGGTTGATGCATAGAAGTGGTACATTGTATATAGTAAACCCCATTAAAATAACCATAGTAATATAGGTTGATGCATGAAAGTGGTACATTGTATATAGTAAACCCCTTTAAAATGATCATAGCAATATAGGTTGATGCATAGAAGTGGTACATTTTATATAGTAAACCCCATTAAAATAACCATAGTAATATAGGTTGATACATAGAAGTAATATATAGTAAACCCCATTAAGATAACCATAGTAATATAGGTTGATGCATGAAAGTGGTACATTGTATATAGTAAACCCCATTGAAATAACCATAGTAATATAAGTTGATGCATAGAAGTGGTACATTATATATAGAAAAAAAAACATTAAAATAACCATAGTAATATAGGTTGATGCATAGAAGTGGTACATTGTATATAGCAAACCCCATTAAAATAACCAGAGTAGTATAGGTTGATACACAGAAGTAGTATATCGTAAACCCCATTAAAATAATCATAGTAATATAAGACAAATTGATATTTAGGTCGTATACAGTTAATACCATTAAAATAACCATAGTAATATATGTTGATAATATGAACCTAACATAAATGTTGTTGAACAAATATTGCCATACTGTCAATTTGAATTTGCGCTCACTTTTTCATATATACATAGCTTCAATATATGACTTAATACATTGCACGTATGCGATTAATTTCAAAGGCACAATCTGTCACTCAATGAACACTCGATTTCTCCTCTAACGTCAACAGAAATGGCACCAATATCGTATACCCTTTTAACATTTAACACTAGAGGTAAGGAAACTTGTCTGTTCGACACCGAACATTGTCATCGATTCCAGAGCTCCGTTAGACTAAAATGTCAAACGGTTGTTGTTGGCTTCATGTTGGCGGTAAAATCACGTCATTAATTAATAGCAGTCCGTAAATATGTACTATCGTTACATTAAGATGTAACAACAACTCACCAGATTGCTGAAACGCATCGGTACATTGTAATTCTTCTTTGATACGCCATTGCATCGGGAACATAGCTATATCGTTAACATATATGTGACCTAACATGAAAATACACAACAAATGAAACACCTGCACGGCTAATTGTTTACGTTTACGTGTCACCGGCCGAAGCTAATGGCTTGCGGCTACTCTTGTTACAGGTTAATTGATAAAGTGATGTCCTTCTGTGGTCGGAGTGCTTCGGTCTTAGACTATAAAGGAGGGGTTCCGAGTATACCACTGAAATAAATTAAAAACGTAA